GTAAGTATTCACAATTGGATTACGTATCACCATGAAGATCTTCTTTGGATTTGCTACCTCTGTGGTAAAATTAGTCATCTCTTCTGCTGGTGTTCTCAGCCATTACCTCGTACCAATGGTCATTCATTTGAGTAGTTTTTCAGTCATATGGTGATGAACCTTCTAGGTCTTTAGCTCAGAGCTGAACAAAGTATGCATAGATTCTGGAAGAGCCCCCAATTTAGTAGTTTGTTCATATTCTTGTGAATGCTCCTGTCCATCCTACAAATCTTCTTGATGAAGCAATACCTGAGCTGGTTGCCCAAACCCAGATTCGTGAACAAAACTGTGTCCCTTCTACCCCTCAAATAGTGACTCTAACTTCTTATTCTACTCCCACTCCCTTACCCCATGTTCAAGTGTCACCTCAAACTTTCCAATTAGCGGTTGCTACTCAATCCATCCTCAATCGGCTGATGGATGACCAATTGGGCCCCTCCTCCTTGTCTCGAGGGAAGAGACCCCACTTGGATCTCTTGTCAGGTCTATAAGTAGAGAATGATACTCCTAATCTCCCAATTTTTGATAGACCTGAATTGTCATATTCTAGTCTTCCATTGGAACTAATTGTCACTATTGATCACATAAAATTCAAGGAATTTGTTCAAGAACTCGATGGAAGGCATAAGGTGAGTATTGTTTCTTTGGCTTTTTATATTCATTTTTTATTCCAGTGGGCGGTGGTGACTTGCCCTCAACAGCCACACCACCGCCAATGATCATAATGAGCTGGAACTGTCGTGGGGCTGCTCGCCCCAAGGCAATTCAAGGCCTAAGGGATTTTGCTCACCGTTTTAATCTTGATTTTATTTTTCAAGTAAACTAAAATCCCTAACAATGAAATAAATAGTTTGGCTAATCAACTTCGCCATTCTAATTCCTATATGATTCCTCCTAAAGGGAGAGTCGGAAGATTAGTTGTTATTTGGAAAACTGGTATCCAGGCCTCAATCTTTTTGGTTCATCCAAGGTATGTCTTCCTGAAAATCAACTCAGATTCTTATTCTTGGTTAATTGGCTTTATTTATGGTCCTTACATTATAAGTTGGGCAAACTTAAATTCTTGGCTAGAAACTATAAGTCTACCTTTTGTATTAATTGGTGATGTTGATGAAGCAGCATAGGTGGAAACTTTAGACCCTTCTACTTCTGCTTCGAACCCTCTCATTTCCAAGCAATATAGGAACTTAATTATAGAACTAAACCTTGTGGAGCTAAACATTCAGGGAGGGGGTATAGCTTGGACTAATAAACGAAGTAAAGGGCATATTCAATGAACTCTTAATAGGGTTGTTGCTTCTCCAGACTGGTTAAACTGGTATCCACATGCTTCTATGTCCTTAGGTACTAGATGGGGATCAAATCATCATCCTTTAATTTTGAATATAAACCCTCATATTCTAAATCTGCCCAAAATGTTTCATTTTTATGAGATGTGGTTATCTGACAATTCTTGTAAATCTGTAATGGAGGATGGATGGAATCTGATTAATGGACACTCAGCTTATCGGATAACCCTTCGTCTAGATAGGATTAAGAAATACCTAATTCAATGGAGGAAGACTTCTTTTCTTGAACCTAGAGAGAAACTAAAAATGTTGGAGGACCAAATTAAATAGAAGAAGCTGAAACTGAGGACTCTCATAGATTGAATAGCCTTTAGAAAGAATATGAGAAGACGATAACACAAATTGAAAGCTTTTAATGACAAAAATCTTATCAAACTTGGCTGCATTTGGGTGACAAGAATACAAAATTTTTTCATAGGAGTACTCTCTTTAGACAAAAAATAAATTATATTGATGGCATTAAAGATTGTGAGCACTCGATTTTTGCTCGGTCCTCTGTCTAAACCCCCAACTCACTCTCGAACACCGATTAAACCATTCCGACACTACCGATATCCAAAGAATCCAAAGAACCCAAATCTCAACCCCAAATCCCCAAGATCCATAAATGGACCCACCTAATACCCTTAACCAGATTACCAAAATCATCCCCATTCCAAATTACCAAAAAACCCCTGAACCAAATTCCAAAAATACCATTGACCAAATGCCCAAAATACCCTAGACCAGATTATCAAAATTACCCTCCTTCCAAATTACCAAAATACCCCTTGACTAAATGCTAAAAATACCCTTGACCAAATTACCAAAAGTACCCTCACACCAAATTTCCAAAATACCCTTGACCAAGTTACCAAAACTACATTCTTTCCAAATTACCAAAATACCCCTGACCTGGTTCCCAAATTACCCCTTCTTCTAAATTCCCGAAATACCCTCATTGGACCAATTACCAAAATACCCCTAACTTAATTCCCAAATGACCCCTTTTCAAATCTCCCAAAATACCCCTTGACCAAATTCCTAAAATACCCTCCATTCCAAATTCTCGAATTGCCCTTTTAACCAAATTTACCAAAATGCCCTTATTCACCAAATTTACCCAATTATCCTTCCTAATCAACCCCTTCAAACCCCAAATCACCAAATTACCTCAAAACTACCTGATTACCCTTTTATCCCAAATTACCAATTTACCCCACAAACCTCAAATTACAATAATACCCTTCATGAACCCAAGCACCACTCTAAATGGGTCCTTTCAAACCTTAATTGTCAAGTCACCCCAAACCCCCCATTCACTTTGAAGTTTCTTTGAGAATCCCCTCACTCCTATTATAAATAGAAGGCACCCATCCCAAAAAAAAAAGGGGTTGGAGGAGAGGATCTTGGAAAAGAGGCTCTCTCGTTGTTTTGTTTTTGGGAAGGCTGGAAGGTGGTCGAGATACGAGTTCAGAGATAAAGTTTCGAGAAAGAGGGGCTCAAAGAGAAAAGAGTCATCTTGCTAGGATAAGTCGAGAGAGAAAGGGGTTGGGCAAGAAGAGTTTGAAGAGAGGTAAAAGGGTAGAAGGGTTCGTTGTCTTCAACCCTACGGCAACTACATAGTGGCGACGGTGGGTGGTGAGCTCGGAATTCCCCTAGTGTTCTCTCTTTCCCCGTCTCTCATTCTTTTCCCCTCTCTCTCCTTTTCTCTTCTCTTTTGTTAGTTCCCCTTTGCATCCCTCCGACCCACAGACCACACTTTGAGTTGCAGCGGCGGGTTTGAACCTACCAGCAACAACGACTCACATCTTGCATCTCATTCTCACAAAATCATTTTCCCCCCTAGCACCATCAATTCAATCAAAAATTGCAATTTGATGTAGTTATTAGGCGACTAAATCTTCATTCATCTGGCTTCTATTTCGGTGACACCATTAGCAACATTCACCCCTTATTCATAGGCTACATAGAGGTAAAATCCTTACTTCACTTTTTGTGTTAGATTCATAGTTTATTTTTTTGGAAGCATTTATTTCCTTTTAATCGTTGAAAGCTTTTTATTGTATTTGCGCTTGTTTGCTTCACTCTTTTGAGTTTGGGAGCACCTGCTCTCTCCTTTGCTTGGTGGAAGTGGCGATTTCGTCCTCTCAATCTCCTCTGACCATTCAGCTGATTCTGAAAGTGGGGTTCCTGATAAAAAGGGGTAAGGATAGATTTTCTCACCTCTTTGCTCAAGTCCCTGCATCCAAAAGGGGTTTGGTCTAGAGGAGGAAAGAGATTATTTCAGCCACCTCACATTTTCAAGCTAGTGAAGGCAGGTTCTCTATCCGATATGTTGTTTTTTTAAATAAAAATCAGAGAAGGGAAACTAGCATTCACACTGACATGAGAGAGGGGTGTCTAACCCCTTCCCTCTCTCTTTTTCAACTTACCCAGATCAGCCTTGTCCTGGTTGATTGATGTGGAGTCACTATAAATGCAAAATATTTTGCGAAATCTAATCCCGGGAGGCCCATGATTCCTAGTTATGTATCCTAATGGGTGACAACTCCATCTCTTCGGCCATGAAGTGAACTACTGGGGGATTTTTCTCGACGTTCACAAGGAATGACAAAATAATTGGATATCCTCTCACAAAGACCTTGCTCAAATTTTTGTAGAGTACTTTTCAAATCTGTACATGTCTCGGGATCCATAAGAAATTGAGGATTTATCCCATCTCATTAATACTATTGTTACTAAGGAGGAAAATACTATGCTAATGACAATTCCCTCCGAAGAAGAAGTAAAATTAACACTTTTTAGCATTGGGAGTCTAAAATCTTTGGGTCCGGATAGAATGCCAGTTCTAGTTTTTAAGGAATGTTGGGACATGATGGGATTGAAAATTGTGCAGGTAGTTCAGGATTTCTTTATCACTAAAAAACTACTTAGGAGGCCCAGTCATACTTTTATCTATTTAATTCTGAAAAAAGTATACTATAAGAAAATACAAGGCTATAGACCTATTAGTTTATGTAATGTCCTTTATAAAATTATAGCAAAATTGATAGCTACTAGGCTTCATACTCTACTAGATAAATGTATTGCTCCTAATCAAGCAGCTTTTGTCCCTAGACGTCAAATGGTAGACAATTCCATTATTACACATGAGATGTTCCACTTCCTTAAACATAAAAAACGAGGTACGGGCTATGTAGCTTTAAAGTTAGATATGTCTAAAGCCTATGACTGTCTAGAATGTGGTTTCCTATTAAAAATATTATCTCTCCTTGGGTTTTCTGAAGCATTCTGTCAGCTAATAAAAGAATGTATTTCCATAGTTTCCTTTCAGTCTTAATTAATGGTACCTTGGAAGGACACTTTTGTCCTACCAGAGGCTTACGTCAAGGAGACCCTCTTTCTTCCTATTTGTTCATTTTTTCCATGAAGGGTCTGTCTTGTTTGATTTCACATGCTGAGCAGGAAGGAAAATTACAAGGTATATATTAAAATAAATAACTCTTCTCCTTCCATTTCCCATTTATTTTTTGCAGATGATATTATGCTATTTCTTCGAGCCCATAGAGAAGAGTTGGATAATTTGAAACAGATTCTTCTTCAATATCAATCAACTCCAGGTTAGCTGGTAAACTTTGAAAAATTAGGCCTTTTTGTAATAAGAATATTCATCCAAGACATTAAAGAATGATTAGGTGGCAACTACACATAGGCCCTCTTAATTCCAGCTGCACATAGGCCCTCAAATTTAAATAATGCCTTGGAAAACCTCAAATCCAAATTAAATAAGTAGAGAGCTTCTGCTATTAGCCAAGCAGGAAAGAAAATTTTAATTCAATAAGTTCTCCAAGCTGACCCTCTCAATTTTATGAGCCTTATACACTATCCCCAAAAAACTATTAATAGTATGGAGAAAATTATTAAAGAGTTCTGGTGGGGGGTTTCTAACTCTCGGAGTCATCCTTATCGTTGCTGCTCTTGGAATAAACTTACTTTGCCAAAGGCCTTTGGAGGTTTAGGCTTGAAACATCTGAAATTGGTAAACCTGGCCCTTCTTAAGAAAATTGGTTGGCAATATCTGAATGAGCAACATAAATTATGGGCCCAAATTTGGAAATTAAAATATTTAAAACACTGCACTCATATTCCTTATTCAATAGCTCCTTCAATCTCCTTTTATTGGAAATACATAGCCCTAGAGATTAGGGAACTAGCTTATGAATGTAGTTATCTAGTGAATGAAACTTCCTCTTTTTATTTGGACCAAGTGCCTTGGATTCATTCCAATAATGATTTCTCTTGGATTCCTTTTCTTTTAACCCCTAATCTTAAGAATCTAAGAATTTCAACCCTCCTCTCCTCAGGACAGTGGAATGAAACACTCATTAATTCTTTGTTCACCACCAGGGAAGCCAATAAAATCCTTAGAACTCCAATCTTTCCCTCAAACAATGATATTACTTGGATTTGGACTGTTCATAACTTAGGTAAGTTTTCAATTAAAGAGGAATATAAAAGGAACCAACAACAATATTTGAGAGCTATTCCCCCCGAATTAAAATTTTGCTTGAATAGAATCTAGGAACTCAATATTCCTCCTCGATTTCAGTTGTTTTTCTGGAGAGTAATCAATAATTTTATTCCTATAAAAGACATGCTTTTCTTTGATCCACAAGATAAAATCTGTGCTTTATGTAATGAAGCAGTAGAATCCTTTTCTCATTTGTTTATTGATTGTCAATTTGCACAAGCTATTTTCTTTGTAGAACCCGAGAACCTAAATCTCAAGAATGTATATCAAGGATCTTGGATGTCATGTGTAAATACTTTATCTACTTTAATTGTAGACAATCAATTATTGTTGCAAATCTTAGGATGGATTGCTATTGCTTGTTACTATATCTAGTATGCCCGAAATGAGAAATGTTTCATGAACTGACAAATTCTTCCTCAAAATCTCATTAATATTATAAATCAAAGTGCCTAGAATGCTTCAGTTCCTCAAAATGGCTCTCATGGATTGCATCTCTATCACAAAAGTTTGCGCTTTCTGTTACCCATTCTACTGATTTAATTATCTTCACTGGGAAAGTAACTGATTCCTTATTCAGTTTTGGAATTATCATTTTATCAAGGAATCTATCCTGCTTGAAAATTCTAAGGGGAAGAGCATTCAATGTTGCTTCTACTGATCAAGGTGAACTATTTGTTATTATGCAGGCTTTAATAGAAATTTAGAATTGGAATTGTGGAGATATAGTATGTGTTTGGTTCTGTGGGCGTTTATGGATAGGCCGTTTATTTGTACTTTTTCACTTTAAATGTTTCATGTTTTTGTTGTTTGGTTGGACTTTATTTTAAATGTTTTTTACTCTCCACCTCAGATTAATACCCATTAAAGTGTGCCACATCAGTATTTGGTTTCAAGAAACAATGGGGTGTTGGAGGAAACAAGAATTTGACGTTTCCCCAAATGCTCTAGTCACAAAAACCAAAACGTTTCAGTTTTCTACCATTTATTTGATAAACGGTGAAACCAAACAGTTGTTTCATTTTGCTTCATATGCAATATGCCTATGTGACACTGATGTGGTGTCATTTTTTCAATAAACGCCCACGAAAACAAACACAACCATAGATGCACAAACGGTTGTATGGACTTTACAAGAAAAAAGTATACTTCCCTGGTCTTGCTAGGGGTGCAACCTGGGTGGGCCCAGCCTGAGCCTGAACCAGCCCAAGCCAGAATTTTACATGAGCTGGGCTTGGATTTTCAGTCCTTAGGATGGGCTCGGGCCCAAGAATTTGAGTTTTTTTTTTTTTTTTTTTTTTTTCGGGCCGAGCTTAGGCTTAGCCCTTAGGTAGCCCAAACCAGACCTGAGCCTGATATATATATATATATACATACATACATACATACATACATATTTGTATAAATACATTTATATGTGTGTAATTTTAGAGTGAATTTATTGACCAACCCCAGCCCGACCCGGGCCCAAACCCAACCTAAGTGCTTCAAATACATGATGGGTTAGGCTCGGATTAGAAAAATCAGGCTTAACCCTAGGCTCAGGCCTTGAGCCCAAATTTTAAGACTGAGCCTGGGTTGACCATAAACCCAGCCCAACCCAACCCACTCGACTTGCACCCCTAGGTCTTGCCATTGGATTTTGTTAAAAACCAGAAATTTAATTACAAACTTTAAAATGTTAAGTTTCATTTTGTTCATCGAACTTATAATACCAGTCCATAAGTGTTCCAAATGACTAAATCTCACTCCCAAAATCTTTTTTCTATGTATTGAGTATCCTATTGGGACTCCGAGGGTGAAATGACTTTTGTAAATATTTCAGTTATCTACTGTAGTAGAGTGTATAATTTTAGAAGTCAAAGCCCTTTTTAAACGTCACTACCCCAAATTACATGACCCATATATATTCCAAAAACATCTTGGAAGGCATTTTCGTTATTTGGGAGAACGTGAGGGAGCAATTATTCTCTTGAATTTACACAAAACTCGACGCCGTCACGACTTTCTCAAGCACCGTCGACCGGTTCGTGTCCGTTTCCTCCGTCGTCTCCCATCTCTCTCTCTCTCTCTTCCACTAATAAAAACCCCCTAATAAAATCACTTTCACCTCCGTCTCTAAGCAGTCTTCCCTCCTCCACCCCCCCTATCCAGGCATTGACTGTACAATGGCATCCATCGGGCAATTTAGGGTTTCTCTTCATTTTCCCACTATTTCTCCAATTAAACGCTCTCTTCAGTCAGGACCCTTTAATTCGCTTCCAATAACCCTATATTCCCTTCGAGATCGAACCTAATCCTCCTATCTCTGCTTTTTCTCAGCAGTTGTTACAGTAACGGCGCCATTTCAACTCGTTTAAACCTCTATTTCCTGTGTAAGGAAGTTGTCTCGGAAGTTGATAATACTCCCTCTTCTCCTAAGTTTTTTTATCGGCTGTTCGATGCTTGTCGTTGTTTAAATTTACGGCGGCATGGATGGGGTTCAGAGCACAACGACGATTTCAAGCTCGAGCTCGATTTCGAATGCGAATGCTCCGCCCCCGTTCCTGAGCAAGACCTATGACATGGTTGATGATCCCTCGACGAATTCGATCGTGTCCTGGAGCCCTAGCAACAACAGCTTTGTCGTCTGGAACCCGCCGGAGTTCGCAAGGGATCTGCTGCCCAAGTATTTCAAGCACAATAACTTCTCCAGTTTCGTCAGACAGTTGAACACATACGTACGCCTTTCCCTCCTTGAGCTTATTGAAGTTCTTTTTCCTCTTATTATTACTGTTATAATAATGTTTTGAACCAGAGGGAATATCAGCTAATAAAAAAAGATGTCGGGTTCTTATCTATTTTCTGGCTTCTATTTTTGTTCTTAATGTGAAGCATGATAAATTTTTACACTCTTATATTAGCAGTGCACATAAGTGTGAGATCATGAGGCCTCTTGAAAGTAGCAAGGTTATCCAATCTATTGAGTTTCTTCAGTTTCCATTGAAGCATAATGGTTCAATTTTGTTGGTGAAGGCAGAGGAACACTTGCGTATCCTGCTTTTTTTTCTGTATTTTTTCGTCATAACTTTTTTGTTGACGTTTTTTTTTTTTTGTGATGGATCTTGTTGGTGACGTATTACAACTAAACTAATGAACATTCGATCCATTCTTTTGCCCTAGATAACATTTGGTCGATAGATTTTGTTCAATGGAACACAGTGGCTAAAAGTTTGAAAAGTTAATTACTGGCGAGCTTTCTAAATCGACAAGTGACTGATCAGAGTTAATATGATTTGATTGGTCCGGGTTACCATTCTATCTGGTATACTTGCCAACAATAAGTACTGGATCCAAGTCTTAGAATTTTTTTTATTGGTATGTGGTGATATGCCCAAATCCTCCGTAGGGGCTGTTGAGTAGTGCAGCACCATGCTAATAACCCTCTCCCCAAATTTGGTGATAGGGCGAATCAAATCTGCGTTTTTTCTGGAACAAACCAGCTAATGCACCAACTGAGCCACCCCTCAGTTGGCAAGTCATAGAAATTATTAATCTATGTGTTCTTCCTTCTAGATTACGGGTCTGTTAATTTTTTAGGTTATGGATGTTGGCATTTTATACATGATCTTACTATTCTATTTCATGTTCCTCCATCAAGAATTACTAGATCCAAGTTTTAGAGATTCTTAACTATTTGGTTGGTGTCATTGCTTATAGATTATAGATTATATATCTTTATTTGCCTATGTTTAGCCTTAAAACCCATTACTAGATTATGGCTGTTCACACTTAATCTAGAATGCTAATGGATTTGAAAAATCATGGAGCAGAATGTTGGGCCGTCATTTCTTTATTCTTGGGTCCAGGAGTAGGGGATTCTATCAGGGATTATTTGCTTGTTGCACTACAAGGGGTACAGATTGCAAATGAGTTGAATATGGCACATCTGGAGGTCGAGGGGGGACAAAAAAGTGATGCAAATTTAAATTGCTTATTTGAAATTAGGGGTGAGCAAATGGGTTGGTTGTACAAGTACCAAGAAAAAATGGGTTGGTTCCACTCAGAGCAAATTGGAACCGACCTCAAATTGGCCTTGGCAAGGATGGTTCCAATCAGTTCTTGGGTATGATTTGGTTCTAGATGGTTTTGTGAGTGAGTTGAAGGTGTTGTAGGAAGCTTAAATTGCGAATAAATCCTATTTATTGCATGTTACTAAAATTTTTTCAAGATTGAAAGAGGGCCTGGTTGGGGCTGGTCGTCCAACAACAAGTTGAAGAGAGTTTATAAGAAAAATGGATCACAATTCAAGGGTTTGATTGAGATGGTTGAGAGGAGAGGTTCCGAGACTCAAGCGTTAGATGGGGCAGTGACTCATTTGTTAGTTGCATATGAGAAAAATGTTAGAGCTAATTGATGGGTCAGAGGTTATTGAAAAGGAGGGGGGAGGCGGGAAGAGAAGAAACCTGATGAGGTTATTTCAGATAGCAAAGAAGAAAAGGGAGGATTAGTGGAGATCGAGAATTTGGCCGCTAGAGATGTCAGAGTTGGCATTTGGCAAGAGTTTAGGTTTGTTCTTTTGAAGGGAGCTTTTGTTATTGATAAAAAAAAGGAGCAAGTGGGAGGAGAGATTAAAGAAGACCATAGTAGGGGAGGCCAGAAGGAGGAGAGGCATGGAACGAGGAAGGAGATGGGCAGGAAGAAGATGATTAAGGTGTTGGCGAGTTGGCAAATGGCAACATGCATCTGTTTGTTAATTTGTGGTTCCAGAGCTATAGGAAGAAGATTAATTTATCAAGAAGAGCTTTGGAGTGTGTGTGTGTGTGTTTTCATTTTAGATTGTTGAAATTTTGATGTGATTGGGTAGTGTTGATGTGGGTGTTGCCTTAACACTTGTTGTTGATTATATTCATCTTTTTATTTTAATGAATATTTTTCTTTCTACTTATAAAAAACAAAGGGTCAGGTTCCAGATTCTTGGAACTGACCCCCACCTAGGCTGGTGTCAAGGTTTGGGGGTTTACCCTACTCGAACTAACCAGAGAACCAACCTTGTGTGAAGTTGGACTATGGATTAGTAATGATTATGTGATATTATTTAGGTTGTTTATGGATCATGTTTTATTTCTTTGAGATTGAATGATTATAAATTTGAAAGGGAAAAATATAAAAAACAACATAATATTATTTAGGGGGTGTTCACGGTCCAGTTTGGAGAAGATCTCAGACCAAACCGGTAAACTACGGTTTGAGAAGTTTCCAAACTGAACCAAACCGTTTTGGTATAGAAACCAAACCAGACCAAACCATTTTATTATGGTTTGGTGCGGTTTCTAATACAGTTTGGGGACTTGGACCATTCTATGATTCTATTGGGCTTAATCCAATTAGAAAGCCCAAATAGCTTCCCTAAAAATTAAAAATTAAAACTTATTTTATTATTTTATTATAAAATAAAGAGTTTATTATATACTTATAATTTTATGCATTCAATTTAGATATATTATACAATATTTATACATCATATATTCATATATATTTATAATTTACATTATATATATATAATTTCGGTTTACAGTTTATGGTTTGGTTTGGTTTATGAAATCCAATGAACCAAACCAAAACCGTAAACCATAATTTAGAAAACTACCAAACTGAACCAAACCGTTTTTAGGTGTAAACCGAACCAAAGCGCAATTTTAGTTCGGTTCGGTTTTATGGTTTGAACCATATAATGAACACCCCTATTATTATTTTTAAAAGAATAGGTTCCATGGGTAGTCCCTGGAACTGACCATAAAATCACCAAGACCAGAACCTGACCTTTAAACCAATCTTGACAGGGTAGGTTCTGGTTCCAAAAATCTGGAACCGATCCCTACAGGGTAGGTTCCTGGTTCTGCCTTGGAACCAAACCAAGCCAACCCATGCTTGCCCCTACTCGAAATGTGAGTTTTAGGATACATTGGGTTAAGAGATAAGCTAATGTGATGGCTGATGCTTTAGCTAAGCAAGGGGTAAATAGGGATCAGTTGGTTTGGGCATATGCAGAGAAGGTCATCTTTAGCACCTGTAAGAAGTGATCTATTACAAGATGAAGGGGCTAGAAGATCTAGGAGCAGCAGACCAAAAAGGGCATGAGCTGAAGTGGTAAGAAATGATCTAAGGGAAATTATCAAGAAAATGATAAGGGCCCATGGTTAACCAATGGAAATGGATCTGAATAGAACAGAATAACAGAAGAGGATTCATATAGCCAATCCCATATAGTTTGGACAAGATGTACATGATGATGGTGGTGGATGTTGAAATTTTATGCATGGCCATTCCTTTTCATATTCCTGCTAATAAGAAATATAAGATCCAACTATTCAAGTTATATGGATTCTTAGGCTATTATATTTGGTGCCATTGCTTCTGGATTATAGATCTGTACTATATATTGCTTGAGGCCTGCAAATTATAGTTTTCTGCCTCTAATAAGTCTATTTAGTATTTATATCCATTAATCATTATTGAATTCCATTTGGTTTGCTATGCATACATTTTGCAGAAACATTTGATATTTTACATTGTAGGTAACAATACCCTGGACATGGTAAGTCAATGTTGGCTTATAGGCCCCTATGAGTTCAAGCTCCACTATATTTACGTTCTTTTGTTTTAAGACATTTTTCATTGTGGAATTATTTTTCTGGTATATATTTTATGACCAGAGATCTATGTATTTGTATTCCCTGTTAAGGTTGTTAAATATGCTTGACAGGCATTAGCACTTCACTACATTCAGGAACTTACATTGGCAACTGACCAAGCAGGGTGAGCTTTCTCGTTGTATGATGCCAAAAGGTTCCACACAACAGATGTGGTCATTATTGTGGCCGTTGGTCCAGGGACCATTTCAACTTCTTACATTAGCATCAACCTAAAACCTATATCATTTGAGGAATTACCCAATCACCTTTATGTGATCAGCCTTCTGTGGACTGGATAATAACCAAGTAACAATTAATTTTGACCTAAGAATGTTGCTGTCAAATGGAAAATATGGATTAATAATTATCCCATCTTTGGGCTGTAACTCGCTTAGGCGTAAATTGAGCTCATGGATGGTGCAGATTGGCATCCAGTTTGCCTATGTTGCCATGGTATCTTCTGTGTTTAGCATAAGTGCCATGCTTGTCCTTCCTGTACTTATATTTCACTTGTGTATCACTTATACAGAACAAGTTGCATAAATATAAATGTGAATTGCAGGTAAAAGCAATGTCTTTCCTCCCTCTACCAGTGTTATTAATCCTTCCTGCTTTGAAGAAGAATATGGTTTCTTCCCCTTTTAATTAAACCATTTGGACGTTAATGTGTTATGTCCGCCTGAAGGTATTCTGTTGTTTGGTACAGCCCCATGAATAGCGGACATTATTTATTTATTTTTGATAAATAACCATGGTAGTTTCATTAAAAAACCTCCATACTACCCCAAAAAGAGTAGCAGACCAATGAAATACAAGTCCATTTGGTTCAGAAATGTAACAATTGGATTGCAATAATTCATGGCCCAAGTTCACCTCATTCCAGCCTTTCCCTGACAGCACCCAATTTTGCTAATGCATCTGCCAAGCCATTAGCATTCTCAGGAACCTATTTGAATGAGCTATTGAAATTGCTGCCTTGCTTAAGTGGAGATAGGATTGGCTGAATGCAGTAGCTGTTCAGCAGGCTGTGGAACCAATAATAACAC